TTTTGTAATAATATAATATAAACTCTAAATAATTAATTTACAGAAAAAAAATTTTTATTATAATATTAATATTATTAATTATAACTTTTTTTAGTTTATATAGTTATAAAAGATCACATGATGTTGGTTTTAGACTACATATACTATATAATATAAAACTAAAATAAAAAGTTTCTAAAAAAAAATCAAATTGTAGAAAACAAATACTATATAGTAATATTAAAAAAGATTTTATTATATAAAAATTATACAAATAAATTCTCTAATCAAATAATTTAGAAGTGATACCAAAATTTCTGCATCTAATTTATAAAATATTTGTTTAAAAAAAATATAATAATAACAATAATTGAAGTAGTAAAAAAAGCAATAATATACAATTGTAAGCTATAGTAAAAAATTATATTTTAACTAGAATCAAAATATCTGGTTTTATAAAATAACTAACTATAAAGAATTACTTAGTATAGAGAATATAATTTGTCTTTGTATAATTAAAATATATCAAATTAGTTTTTGATTATATTTATATAGTAATTTATAATAAAAAAATTAAATTTTACTAATATCAATACTATATTAATTCTAAAGTTAAAAATAGGCTAGTTGATATTAAAATATTAGATCTATACTATATATATTATTAAATAAATTTTTGAAAAAACTTTATTTTATTTTCATTAGAACAAATTAAAATTTTTATATATAAAAACAAATCTAATTTATATAGTTATATTTTTTATAATTTTGATTTTTTAAAAAAAGTATCAAAAAAATTTGTTTTTTAAGTAAAATAGATTAAAAATAATTTTGTTTTAAATTTTAATTTTATATTCTGAAATTTAAATAATTTTGTTTGTATATATAGTCTATACTAGCCAATAGTTAAAAGTTAAATGTTCTTGTATATATAAATAATCTACTAGTAAACTAGTAGTTAAATTTATATAGAAATTATATAATAAAATATATTACAAGATACTTTCTAATAATACTATAGAAAATAATAATAGAGTTTTTTAAATAAATTTTTAATAAATAATAACTAGCTAATGGCTAACTAATAGCTAGCTAGCTAATGACTAGCTAGCTATAGCTAGCTGGCTAATAATTAACTAATAGCTAGCTATAGCTAGCTGGCTAATAATTAACTAATAGCTAGCTAATAAACAAGTGATATATTATAATACAAATAAAATCATGTAATATAAACCACTATGAAAGCTAATTAGAAGAGATTTGGTGATTTCAGAAAAGTTATGTAATTTTTGTACTAATAAAATTGTAAATTTATTTCAATAAGACGAATCGAATGGTACCAAAATCATTGAGATTTGATTACCGTATTATGAGATAATTACATTTAAGTAGTTTTTGTAAATATCTATATAATTCACTAACCTAATCGAATTAATTATTAATTCTTTGATTCACATCATTTCCATATTTTAATTCTTATTCATCTAATTAATGTATACCAATTGTTTAATTAATCAAGATAAATACTACTGGGAAAAAGTGTTATATATGAAACCCAATATATAGCAATAAACTAAATAAATTAATTCTAAAAGATATTTATTTATTGCTTGATCAAAGACTTTATTGCTAAAACGAAGAAATTACATATGGAAATAGGTTCGCGATTCATCGTGCTACTGAAATTGCTAGATGAAATGTAAAGTTTATAAGTCCCAAAATTTTGGACCTTAAGTCAGAGGTTATCACTCAATTCATTATCCCTTAATAGTTTCGACCCAAAGGCGTTACCTTGCCCCAAGGTACAAACTTAATTACCATTTCTCTGACTTAACTGCGAACTAATACAACCTTACAAAAAGAATTAATTTTGCAGCACATTTCATTTGAATCTGGTTCTTGTACTGTAATTGCAGCTCGGAACCAATTTATTCAAACTATCAATATCGCAGAGTCTCAAGTGATCACTAAGCTGCTGCGCCATTTAATAAAATGGGTGGGTAAGGAGGCCAATAGAGCTAGCTTTACTAAGGCGAGCGAGGGGAATAATTCTTAAATAGCCCTTAAACCACTTAATCATTCCTATCCCTTCACTTTTTGGATCAATTTTAATGATTTACTTAAATCATCGAACGATTCCTTATATTTGCCCATCATACGATAAGTTGTCAATTTCTAATGATTATTATACTTATTCATAGTGCGATAGGTTTCGGTTTTTATGCTAGTACATATTAATAGTCGACAAAGCCGATATTTTAAGTCAGCCAAATTGACTAATGCTATATCAATTTGAAACACTAAAGCCCAGAAATATTTCTTACAAAAAATTTGACTGATTCATTAACTCCAAACGAATATCCACCAACATGTAAAGAAAGAATTGCAATTCTTTATCATATTGACAGACGGAAAAATACGGATTCAGCATTTATGAATGTAAATATTTGAGTACGTATCAGTATTTTATGAATAAGGTGCAGTAATCTATATTCAGAAAAAAATTCTCGGAATAGATGTATATACTAGCTCACATATTTTCATCACAACGATAAATAACTTTCTGTAGAATTTTCGTATAATAAGTAAATTTTTTACGACTATAGTAGTTTATTAATATAGTTTTATATGCTCAAATGCGATTCTTGTAATATACACTACTTTACTATTCGTAATATACCGTAAAAAGGGGTAAATATCCGATAACTTCCGAAGGTAAAAAATTTGGTCTTAGCCATTAGTCAGCCGCTTAGCCGATTTTTTTATCAGCTGGCTAAGCCAGCTGATAAAATCTTATGGCTTGTAACACAATCACCTATATCATACTGGTCTGCGTAAGTTAGGCCAATGGCTAAAACAATCAAAAAATTTGGTTTGGCCGATAAAATTGCCAACACTACTGCACTAATAGATCATTGCAGTGAATTTATGAAATGCCCCAAAATTTGAAAAATTTGACCACTAATTTAACAATAACTACGTACTATCCCCGTCAAAACG